TCTAAAGTGTGCGAAGCATCTATACTTCTATCTACCAAGCTGCTTCTGGGTTTATGTTGAATAACATATCAGTTATTCTTAATTAAATCAGTACTAAATGTAATCTTTTGGCCTTTGAGTTTCATTAACAAAATCTATTTTTAGCATATGAAAAGAAATTTTTGTTGAATTTTCCTCCTCAACATTTCTTAGAGCATTTAAAAATCTATAATCATTGCCAAGTGTAATGTTAGCGTAAAAGGTTGCCATACTCTTGTTATTCAATTACTAATATTAAAAAAGTTTAGATATAAGCATGAGTTATTACTGAAGCTGTCGTGTATTGATAAAACATGCGGTGATGAAAGCAAAATGTAATAGATAAAGACTCGCCAGTGATATAAAATAGGTGAATGTTTCGGTTTGAGATGTATGCCACTCAGCTATGAAGCCAAATTATTACTCTCACAAATTTATGCTTACATGATTGTTTTTCCATAAAAAGGTATTTTATTTAGTGCCTAAGTAAAATTAAGAATCGGAAATTTTAAGTGAAAATTCCATAACAAGGTATTTTATTTAGTGCCTAAGTAAAATTAAGAATCGGAAATTTTAAGTGAAAATCTCCACATGTTTTATTATGGAAGGAAAAATCAAATGCGCATGTGTAAAGCATTAAAAAAAAAAAAAAAAAAAAAAAAAAAATGTTTGCGGCTTTGAGGTCCAGATTTTAAATTATTCTGTTCGGACTTACTGTAATTGAATAAATTTCATTATATCAGTACTTGCATCTAATTGCAATGTGAAGTATTCACTATGTTTTATTTTTTAATAAGTGTCTCTTTTATGGAATTTGCCACTTCATGAATTTGTCCACTTACTGTATCATTTTATAACGAAATATTATTAATTAGCCGCTTTTTCATTGAATATTGTTAAAACAATATCTTTAGCTCAATATAAACAATATAAGGTTTTCTCCAATAGTGTGAGCCTGCCCAGTCTTGGCAATTCTTAGGCTTACTAGGTAATTAGCTTCTATAGCTTTTTCACTTAAAGTAAAACCTTTCATTACTTGTTTATTATTTTTGAAATCCAAAAATTTCCTCTTAAAATATTCTTCAGTTTTATTCTTTAAGTTGGCATGCGTAGATTCAAGGTGTCTTTATGAAACAATGGTTTGATACTTTGATTTGTAATAGCTCACCACAAACAACACATTGAGGTTGAGGGTCCATTCGAAGTACACCCGAATGATGAAAAACTTTCATTATATTTTCATAAACAATTTTTTTTGTCTTTTCAATATTTTTAGTGCTAGTAGATTGTCCTGGATCCATCACCTGTAAAGTATCACTTTTCCGCTTAATCAGTTATAGCCATTTTTCCATTTTGAAAAAATAGTTTTGTTTTATTATTTTTTCACAAATATTTAAATATCTCATCATATATTTTCATAGACGAGTTCTTTAAAAACAAAGGATGGTATTCTCAAATCGCAAAGAAAAGTAAGGAATACAAAGCAAAAAGAAGAAAAAATACCTCCCTTTTAGAGGCAGCAAATCGACATAAAAAATTATTCTAATTGAAAATAGAAGAATTTAAGAGATACTGTTTATTATCTTTTTATTGGAACTCATTTTTATTTCTTACTAAATGCAACATCCAATTCCATTAATCCTTTTAAAAACATCATTTATGACAAATTTTGTTATGTCTATGGCTAAAAGAATATTTGTGAAAATAAAAACGGATTACAAAGTCTATCAGCGGCTATTGACCTTAGATCACATTAATTTACTAATGTTAGAGAAGAAACTTATATAGGATGTTGGGTATTTAATTTTTGAATTTAATAGTTAAAAATAATTTGTTTCTTTGCATACCGCCTATTCTTCTCTTGCATACCACCGATTAAGAATTGCTACTCCGTGGTATGCTAATTGCCCGACTCCTGGCTCTCTATTGATGTATATATGTCACGTGCACATATGCATTTTGACAAGGTTATCACCTCAAATTGGTAGATACAGTCTGGTCTTCTTGTAAAAGTGATGAGAAATAACTACAAATTCTATTTTTCTCTCTTTATTGATTATGATTATTAATAGATGATTCCGTCCTTCAAACACAAATGGTGGCTAGCTCTAAAAGTATGTATTAACTAACTGAGCACAGGAACAGTTACAAAGAAAATATACATCAAACGGAGCACCTAACATTTAGAATTAACATGCGAGTCACAGAGACATAATATTGGATAACCTATCCTCATCTCAGCTGAAAGTCAGTTGACTGTTAGTTCTTGTTCTCACTTAGATGGCATTTTGATAAACTAGTTCAGTTGCATCCAGTTAAAACACTTATTTTTTTCTTGCAATATGTTTAAAAGAACTTAATTTACATTTTATTGAGAAAATAAATGAAAAAACACTGAACTGACATTACTTGTCATACAAATTCCTACACATGAAATACATTTATGCAGGTCGCTCACCAGCGGCCAAGCGGTAAAGTCACTGAACACTGGTAGTTCGGTCCAAGTTTCGAATCCTGTGAACGGGCTGGCTGCGTGGGTGTTTTCATGGTTTTCCCCATGTATAACGTGTATACGAGCCAGTTTCCCTTAGAAATTTTTCCACGAAGGCATCCCTCCCCTTAGGCAGATAGCCCTAGTGTGCTTTGCCGTAATTAAATAAACCAAACCAAACCATTTATGCAGTTTTAGATTTCTTGAAGAATTTAAACTTATACTCGTGTTTTTTTTTTTTTTTTTTTTTTTAAAGTGTAAGATAAAAATGAAACTGATTTTTATTATTTTTCAATTTAACAATTTTAGTTCAAATATAGTCTGTTTTAACTGTCAGTGAGAACTTTTTCATAGGTGAATAAAACATCTTCAGTTTAAAAGAGTACGTGTTTTATTGGGAAAAAATTATGTTTATTGGTGCTTAAATTAATGCATTGTTACAATTTTTAAGAAATAAATAATATATTATCAAGGAAGAGTTAATATTTTCCATGTCTTATTTCAGTCTTCTGTACCTGCTATTTTATTTTTGTCAGATATTTTAGAATTACCTTATAGGTATTCATATGTATGTGTAAGAGTTGGGTATGTATTTTCTAAGGTAATGTGTAACCAAGAATTAAGGTAATTCATAAATATTTTATATTAGATGTGTAAAGAATTCAAACTAGTTTTAAACAATAAAAAAGTACAGCTTGTAACAAAACTACTAGTCACAAGTTAAGAGTTGGCAGAACTTTCCAAAACAAACAACTTTCATCATGCAATGTGGGATCAAAAAGCAAATGAATGGTAAGCCAGGAGAAGGCCTCTGTTTGGGGGGAAATGGAGAACACAATAAAAACGAAGAATTAAAGAACAAATAATCTTCATTATTGTATGTGATGTTGATTCATTATTTTTCATTATTCAACTGTTTACAACACATGTTCAAATGAATGATCACAAGCTGCATCAGTGTCAGAGTGAATCGTGCACACATTGGAAAATTCTTGGCATTTCTTGAACATCTGCAATGCTAATTCAGACAACAAGGCCCTTTGGTGACTCAGTGGGCATCTTGCAAATAATGCTTTTTAGCTGTCTCTAGAGAAAAGAATCCAGGCAGGACAAATCAGGAGATCTAGGAGTCCTCGAGAGGGGCCTACTGTACCCAATCATCTTTTCGGAAAGGCAACATCTGGGTAATTTTGCACAGTCCTGCTGGTTTAAAAATATGCTGGCATGTTTTGCAGTAAATCGGGCAGCACCTGCTGAAGGAAGGTGCAGTACTTTTGCCTGTAGGTGGTCTAGTAAAAGATATAGGTCAATTAAGTGATCATGTATAATTCCTGCCGCTCTTTTTTATTTATTTATTTATTTTTTTGCTGGTGGCATGTCGAATGCATAGCATGCAAATTTACTGTGGCCCCCATGATTGTTATGTGTACTAATATATTTTGTAACATGTGAACATAGTCTCATCTGTAAACAGGACACATGTTGCGAACTGTGAATGTAGTATGCTGTGTTGCAGGAACCAACATGTAAATGTTACATGTTGTGAAAAATCCATTTTATTTAAGGCAACTGGTGATGGCTTGCAACACATGCCATACCGTCATATGGTTGACATCTTGGTCACACATGAGCTTCATTCAGGCTGGTTGTCCACTGCTTCAAGGATTATTTCTATTTGATTTATCATTCTCGCACTCTTGGTCGACTTGTGTCATGTCTTTGGTTGTGGAATGATCCCATCTTCAAGAGTTGCCTGCGCAAACATTTCCGATCAGACAGCACGGAAGCATCTGGTAAAGTCTTACTGCTTTTGAGGCATTGTCATTTGCAGCCCATATGTAAGGTGCACATGAGCCTTCTCCACATTTGAATATTGCTGTATCTCTGGCAATAAATAACAGCTGAATGATAGGTGTTTTGAAGTGCGATGTTTCATCCATTCCGTAGAAAGCATCCTCTGACCTTTTGCTTTCCAAACCCTTATTGTGTGTTGAAAATTATTTATTTTCAAAGATTCTATCACCTCACTAAAACTTTTGGTTAAACAGAATAGCTACCTGAAAGAATAAAGATCCACATTCACATCCTATGTCTGTTTTCTAATACAGGATTTTGCACTGATTTTCATTTTGAGGCTTTAACTTGGACTTATTTTATAATCATCTAATAGAGATATTTTACTCATGTTAATGAAAGATTGGAAAATTTAAAGCATAATTTTTTAATATTCATATTATTAAAAAAATTTCCATTAATATCTTGAAAGAGGAGGTATCAACATGTAATACAGTGTTCACAAAGTTTCTGCTACTAAATAAATATTTATAAACATGTCCTCTTCCTTTTTTTTAATACAAATTTGTAACAAAAAGTTTATTTTACTGTTTGAGCTTTAGAATCATGGAAGCCTACTTAATAACACTGAAACTTCATATGAAATGTAAACTTACAAATCTTTTTTTGTGGTAAACTTAATCTCTTTCTTTTTCAGATTTCATTTGAGAATTGTTCTCGACATCAATATGAAGTCTGCTCAAGATGCATAAAAATGGATCGTGATGTGTCATGCTTCTGAATCTTAAGAAAATGTATCATATACATAATTATTCACTTTTGTGATACTAATGGATGATGCTAGTTAACTTTTGTGATACTAATGGATGATGCTAGCTTAGCTTACACTGATGAAAGCTTCTGTCTTTTTTCAGATGAAAATATTGATGTGAATAGGGAGCCAGAAACAGTGCCTGCTTTGCCTGCTGAAAAAAATGCCATTTCATCTGGTAACATGGCATCTAAAGTTAAGATAAAAAATGCAGAGCCAATCTCCGATTCTAACATTTGGAAATCACTGAAAACTTACGCAAAAAGAAGACTGAGCCCTTCTGTTAATAAAGCTGTAAATGAACAAAATGAAAAAAATGGCTATAAATGTGAATCTTATGATAGAGAAATTAATTCTCTAAACCAAAAAACGGAAAAAAGCGATTCTTCAGAAAAACAGTTTTTAGAACTTCAAATGCCTGACAAGAATGATTCAGGTAATCAGACAGGATTAGAAATCATTCAGAACAGTAATGTTTCAAAAATCAATATGGATGAATTGAAAATGGATTTTGAAAATTCCATGTTTGTCAAGACTTTGCCTATAAAGAAAAGGAGAGCAACAAGCCAGTCAAATATGACAGTGCAAGAAACAAAGTCTGAAATACCGTCATTTGCTGTCGCATCTGTAACCGAATCACCAGGCCCTTTAAAAATTATATCAACGAATCTCAATAGTGATAGTGGTATTGGTAATGAAAAATGGAAAACAGAGTCTGGTAAACCTGTTAAAAAAAGGAGAAGAGTAAGCAAATCAAGTTCATCATTGCAATTAAATGCTAAGTCTGAAATGTCATTAGCTACATCTGAAACCAGATCTCCAAAAATGAATGTTAAATCATCAAGTGAAGACAGAGTTCTTTCTAATGATATTTCTAGCACAAATAAAAGATCCAAGAAACAATCTCAAACAAAGATACAAAAACCAAAGATAAAAAAATCTTTAAAAAAAAAAGTTGATTTAGTCAAAAAGAAATCTAGAATATTCCCCAAAAGGCAATTAAATGTATTTAAGTCAAATAGAAAGGAGAAATCCTCGCAAAATCAACTCTCCACAAACAAAACCAAATCACTATGTGAAATTGTTGACCAGAATTCTTCCGAACTAAAATCTTCAAAAGATAATATCAAAGATACTGAATTGCAGTTAAGTGTTGATCCATCAAAGTGTCAGTCTTCAAAGTCTGATAGTGATATGTGTAAAGAAGAGTCTGTGTCAAATTCAGTTCCGTTTCAGTATTTAGAAAAGGATCTTTCACAGGAAGCAATTAAAAATGTTCATTCTTCAACCGAAAAAATTGTGGAGTCTGATAATGTGAAAGAGTCATTTTCTTCATCTACTGTGCTTGAAAGTGAAAGACGCAAAAGTCTTCGAGGTTGTTCGAAGAAACTTCGGTATAGAAATTTTGAGTATCCAGATATTGTAAAACGAGCAAAAAAAATTCGGGAAATGCAAGATAGTGAAGTTATATCTAAAAATTGTAAACTAAATGGAATTAAATATCCAAATACTACACAACAGAATAAGCATATTTCAAAGAGGAAAAATTTCCCTTTAGTAGATGAAACACAGAACACTAAAGGCAAGAAAAAAGAAGTAGAATTATGTAACAGTGTATCATCTGAGACAGCTAGTGGAAAAAATTCACCTGACAAGATCAATTGTACTACTGCTGTTACTAAAACTCGCATGTTGACTAGAAAATTATCTAAATCTATGCCAGATAACAAAACCGAACATAATGGAAGTAAATCAAATGAAATGCAGTTTCTTAACAGTATACAGCGTGATATATTAAATATTGAAAAGACTCAGCCATTTGTTTCTCTGATTGATTGTAATAAAAACCTGTCCTTTATTCAGCTTAATATAGGTAAAAAAAAATTACCAGTTACTGAGGAAATATCTACTCCAATAAAAGTAAAGGATGTTTTAAACTCGGGTGTGAGTTGTGAAGAGAAAGAAATGTGTGATAATGAAAACATCCATCTGGATGAAAAAAGTAACATTAAAATTGAGAATCCTGATATGCAAACATTTTTACCTTTTAGTAATAAGTTAAAAGATGACAACGAATTTCGCATGGTAAATGCATTTACAGCAAACAAATTGAATAAGTTGTCAAATGGTAAATTTGGTGTAGAAGCAACTATTGAGAATGACATTAATTCCGTTAAAACTAAAATTTCTCAAAATGATGTCCAGTCACCAAAAACGGAAGATAGAAAACTATCTGTTAGAAGTAATTCTAAAACGTTGAGGGAAAATATAAAGGTTTCTTCTAATGAGGAACACCAGCTTGAAAAAGCAAGTAAAGATGCTGTGAGGCTTGAAGTAACACCAAATTCAAAAAATGATTTCACTGGAAAGTTAGAACTGAGTAGTAGTAAAACCTTTGAAGAAAGTGAATTGTCACCATCTAGTGCAGAACATAGAAAAAGAAGAGGGCAAACTCCATCCATTTCTGCAAAAACTGAAGTTTCTGAAGGAAAAGGCAAATCATTGTCAAATTTTTTACATGTTAAAGAGAATAATACAGAGAAATTTATAGCTGATTCAAGTACCTCTGTTCATAAGCAGCCTTCTTTAATGGATATGGTTAAAAGATATTCATTAAGTTCTAAAACTAATTCTGTAGATTCTCCCTGGTCTCCCCAAAACAATCATATTGTTAATAGAAGGCTGAGTGTTCAAAGGAAGAATAAAACCTCCTCTTCATTTCATAGCAGCCCTTCCATTGAAAAAACCAAACGAGAGCAAACATCCTCAGTTGATAGATATGTGAGAAAGTCAAAGGCAAATGTTAACAAATTACAAAAAGTAATTAAATCAAACTCTATTAGAACAACAAGAAATTCAAAAAGTAGTTGTGAAGTTCCAAATACTCAGCAAACACAATCCAAAATCATTTCTGAGGTGTCGACAGGCATCTTAAAGAAAAAAGCAGTCAACTGTATGTCACCAGCTAAAAATAATGATAGTAAACATGAATTTACAAATTTTCAAGAAACATCTAGTGCTGCAGCTGTTAAAATTATTCCAGCAAAAAAGAAATCTGTGACCACTCATTCTAAAGATAGTTTTGCTTCCATTGAAACATCAAAGGTGGAAAATAAGATAGATACTGGCATTGCTAAAAAGGTTCTCTTTGATATACCACAAGTTAAACAAACTGTTGAAAATAGTAATGCTTCCATCTTGAATTCTGCATCTGTTCCACAAATTGTGCAAAATGTTCAAAATAGTGTACCTGTTTTGAATTCAATACCCATGTCTCAAATTATACAAACTGCTCAAAATAATAATGTATCCATCATGAATTCTGTGCCTGTATCACAAATAATGCAAGCTACTGAAAATAACTGTACTCCTATCAACTCTGGTAGTGGAAATTTCAGTGCTCCAAAAGTTATGAACATTTTTGGAAATTGCAGTGCAGGTAGTAGTAATTTGTTAGTTCCTACAGCTTTGCCAACCAATTTTTATTCTCCTTTAAATGCTGTTATTCCATGTTATTCTCAAATTGCACCTTATAACAGTAATCCATATGTAATCATACCACCTGTTTTACAATTTCAAAATAATGCCGAAAGTTATTTGCTGCCTGCACTTCCGGCTCGTTTTGTTTCTGATATTGGCGTACAAGCATCTATTTTTAATTCCAAATACCCATCTTCTGTAGATAACTGTGTTTATGAAAGCATCTTATTATCATCTGAAAATCAATTTGATTGTGAACAGACCTTACCAAATTCATCAGATAATAGCAAATATGTAGCAGAAAGCTCATCAACCAGATTAGAAAGATCAGTGGAAGAACATTCTTCTGCAGATTGTTTCCAAAGTTCCAGTTTGCTGTTTAGTGACTTTTTGCACTTTGTTAGTAATGTTGCCAGTGAAATAAGAAACAATTCTGTTATGACAAGTAAATTTCATGCTGAAGAATGGTTTGAAGAAAATTCTTTTTCTCGTAACATGACAGTAAGGCAGTTTTGCACAAATTCAAAGCTTATGAAAACTTTATCAGGCCAGTTTTGTCAAAAGGTAGATGAATACAATGATGTGTCAGTACAATATAAATTCCCTGATGGATTTGAAGATTTTGAGCTTCTTGAAGTACTGAAGGATTACATTAATTTCCATTTAAGGACAATACTGGAACATTTTTCCATTAACACACTCCCATTTTCTAGTGAATCAGTTATAAGTTATGTGTATTCAAGTTTAAGTTTTATAGAAGGCATGTATATGTCATGTTTGCTTTGCAAGTCATGCTCTGAATTGGAAATCAAAGATCTGTTGCCATGCTTCTTACTATCTGGCTTATTGGTAATATATAATGAGTTCAGTGAAAGAGTTCAGGAACAATATGTGAATTCTAATATGAATTCCTAATATTTAGTTAATATTATCTTTACCTTTTCTTTACCTTTAATTTCTGCTATATTTAACATTTTGTGTAAATATATTAAATAATATTTTTATTTATGTTTTGATTTTTAGTCTGAAATCTATTTGCTGTGTTGCACAATTCAGTTTCTAATGAAATATATCAATGTTTGAACCAATTTAATTCTCTAGGAGAGGTTTGATAATAAATATGTTTAATGTTAGATAATTTACAAATACAGTTGCAGAAAATTATTTATGCATAATATAGTGGAAATCAAATAAATAATATAGCTGTCAGTAAATACATATACAGTGGAATATTAAAATTTGTTATAAAAGGAATTTTAGGTCATGATGCAAGCTTAAGGAATTTTAGGTCGTGATGCAAGCTTTTTTTATGGCAGTTTAATGTTTGACATTGAGTCATGACGATATCACTTTTAAAGTTTGAATTGATTATTAATTAAGAGCATGTCAATAGCAAATATTTTAATAAAATTAAAAATATGTTTTAAATTCATAAATTTCATTTTTTGTCAGAATCTTAATTCTTAAGAATTTAAGTATATAGTGTCTCATTTAGTCTGTATTTTGGCACTGTATTTCTTGCATGTATTGATATATATATATAAATACCAAAATAAGTTGTAATAAATGTATATTGAATACGATAATAAATAAATCAAAATATACTAAATACTATTAATAACTGTATATCTCTTTTTTAAATGATTCCCTTTGGCAAAATAGTTCATGTTTATTGTTAGTATTTTTAATATTAACTAGCTATGGCTAAATGTTGGGTATTTTAGAATCATAATTCTAAATAAAAAGTGTAGAGTTAAGAAGCCAACATAAACATTTAATATTGCAACATTGGTGAAAAAGTCATTGAATGTAAGTAAATATTCAAATAAAAGTCTAGATTTGCAACTGGTTAATTCTGTTTTCATAAAATATTTTAATATCCAATAGTATAAACAGTCAAGAATTGAATGAATTTTATTGTTTCGTGAATAGCGTTGTAGTTTATTTTATAAATTTAATTTTCTTGTATTGCATCAGATAATTTCTTAGTCTCATACATTATTTTATTTAAAATTTTATATGTATTTCATTTTATTAAAATTCTGATATGTATTCTTCATTTAGAACAGCACTTCTCAGCTATTTTTTATTTTTATTGAAGCCTCATATGAAAGTATTAAATAAAATAAATAAAAAGAGCGAAACCAATCTAATCATTCGGAAGATCACATGTGATTTTCATTCACAGAAAAATTAATTAATAAAATTAATTTATTTTTTATACATGAAAGCGTTTTTAATACCGAAGAATTTCTGAAAATATGTCATTCATGTATAGTAAAATTACAAATATGAATTCAGTAGAATTTTTAAGTACATATTTGAAATTTTGTTCTTGCACTTCATTCGTTTGACATATTTATGTTGACTAAGTTATGCATGACTAAGTTTTAAATTAACTAAATGCATCTTTATTTTTTTTTAAATCTTTATATATCTTCTCCCCCCTTTTTTTTTTAGTTTAAACTAAATGTATTTTTATTATTATTGTTATTATTTTTTTCTAAGTTCACAAACATTGGTCAACTAGTGTAATTGCTTTAAAATTTTTATTTTGACTTACAGAAGTTCTGCGGAACACAGTTCGAAGACCACTGATCTAGACTTTAAAAAAAATACACCTAAATCTGCATGTTATATTGATTTATTGTAATCAAACTATATATAACATATATATGGTATTTTTGTGCATTCCTGTTTCATTATTATTTAACCCATTTGTTAACTGCAAATTTGGGTAGTGTTTATGATAAGTAACATAAAATGAAGTTATTAAATATCAGGAATTAAAGTTTTGTAATTTGAAGGCTTTGCAACACTGCTACTTTGGAGACTACACTACTACAACACATTACTTTGGAGTATTTTATATTTATTGATTTGTTATTACATGATAAGACTGGTGTGGGCCATTTTTTTTCAGGTGTTGTGCACAATATAAGTCTTGTGCACTTTTATAAATTGAAAATATAATTGTCAAAATTATCTTTGCAGTATGACATATTTTTCAAAAGATTTTATTAAAAATTAACCAAAGAATTGGTAAGATCACCTGTTAAATATAATTAGCAATTAAAGGTGAAAAGTGTGAAGTTATTTTCTGTATCACTTCATTAGTTAGTTAATTACTATAGGATTTTTAAGATATATATATATATTTCTTAGCTTTTGAAATATATGTATGTGTGTGCTAAAGCAAGTGATTTTATGTAATACTTTTGAATGTCATATTTTCGTTTTACAAGGCAGAAATGGTTTGAATTTACTGTATGTATATGTGTATCTCTATTCTAAGTTTTTTATTGTATTAAAAATGTAAGAAAATGTGTATCTTTTAAATTAGAGAGTAGATAGTGTTCATTCTCAGTTATATTGTGCTACACTTCAGTAAAGTAAATGTCCATTTATTTTTATATTCTTTTCCATTTATTTTTATATATTATCATATAGTGTTTATTATTTCTGAGATGCTGTCATATTGTGCCATTATTTTTGAACATAATTCCATGTGTAAATATTTTCTCATTTGAAAGCATTTCTTGTAAATATGCATTGTTATAAAAAATGTATAAGATTTTATGAAAGTGTAAGCACACATTTTGTAATATTGTATGAAATCGTATCAAGTGCAGATCATTTTATTTGTCACTATGAAAGTAATTGCCAGAGGTTTATCATTAGTTAAGTACATATGTTGAATATGTATTTAACCATTAAAAATATATTTGTGAATGGAAGAAAAAATAATAATACAGGTATTTTTCATATATATATATATATATATATATATATATATATACATTTAGTCAATGTTGTGACAAAGCAAGAATTAAGAATTCATGCACAGTGTACACGTTTGGCCATTTGTATCTGCTAATCATGTTGAGAGTATATTAAGTGACAAAAATAGAAGCTGAATTGCAGCTATATTAAAAGTATTGACATAAACAATAATTAAATGATCAAAATGGGTGATTGTCAGCTTTTTTTGCCTCATGCACCCATTCTCAGTTATATTGTGTTTACCATCGCTGGACAATCATCCCCCTTCCTTTCCAAAATTCAAAAAATGAATTTATTTAAATGTAGAATATTTCTTAATGTGTTTTATAAACTAAGCAAGGAAAAATATAGAAAATGTTGATAAATATCAAAATTTGAGTAAAAGTATTTTTTATATTCATAAACGAATAATAAATACTTAATAGGTTTAAAAAAAGCCTGACCCTATTCTTCTCCTGAAGCTATGAAATTCTCTCCTGGTTGAGAACCCTTGTCTAAATAATATGCTGGGAAATTAAATTAATGGAAATTATTTGCATTGAAATATGAAGTTCTAGAGTTGTAAACATCATCTGATTACTATGAATCAATATCTGCATATTAGTTGTTGAATATAAATGAGTTCAGAATGCGTTGCTTTGACACACACATAATGTTAGATGAACTTCAATTGTATTTCATATTATTTAATGTCATGATATCATAATTATTCATGACTGGCCACATATATTGAGATGTTCATTCATGTGCCTTGCTTATTTTGAGTATCCTAAGGGCTTGAAAAAAGCATAATATCACAATATGGAAAAATCCTTTGGAGTCGCTTGAATACCTGAACAACTAGTCCTCGAGAAGCTTAGCATCAGAAGCTTTGAGATGATTTGTATTCTTTTATTTCAAGTTCTGCACTGTATCACATAGATGGCTAATAATTGTTGTGTTTGGTAGGTTTAAGCATTTGGTTTACTGCAGAGTCTTAGTCTTGTCCGTACCATTCTGAACCTAAGCATTCTTGCACAGGCAAGATACATTGATTAAATCCTCTAAGCACATGAGCAATTTTGAACGAGAATGGCATTCATTACATTAGATAAAAATATCATCAAATATGACAGAAATTCGTTTATAACCCTTGCATATATGAAAACAGCAGATTTCACAATCGATTTGTATCCAGTAATTGTTAGCTCTAGAGAATAACAGATATATATCTGGTATCTGCTGTCTAATCTGCATTCTGGGATGCTCTTTCACAGTAATTAGATTATGTAATTAGATTATATTATTATTATATCTGATAATTTTCTTTTAACTCACTTTGTTATAGTGTTGAATGTGGTAGCTTTTTTAATTTTCTATTAAAGGATGTTGCAGTCACTTTTTATTTGATGAAACATGTCCTTATTACCAAGTTAACCCTCTCGCTGCGTATTTTTTTTATCAAAATAGGTTCCAAAATTGCATATTTTTTTAATTACATATTTCAAATCTACATATATTTTAGACTTAAAATGTACAAAATTTTTTGTAAAAGAGTTTTTTTTCAATATAGAATTAGA